ACGAACTTAGATGAAGATTTGAAGTAAACTTTTTTATTTTTTCGTCAGCCTCACGGTTTAACAAAACACAATTTCCGCAGTTTATGGGAAATTTAGAGCAAATACTGAAGTAAACATTAAAATATTAAATATAAAATAAACACACTTCTAAGCTTTCGCTCTGCCCTCAGTATTTTCGCTTAGCAAAGGAGGCTAGCGAAGCTAAAGCTCATGATTCAGTTCAGTAGTAGGGACTCATAATTAATTCAACAGGGCAATCGTAATCTTCAGCCACCCGAAATCTCTCTCTCTCGAATTCAACAACTGTATGCTTTAACCTATTAACTAATTTGAATCCTGATGGGAGTGGCGATAATAGAAACGATAGTACATGCAAAATAATAAGGTATCTGTGTTTTTTAACAGAAAACCTTGCATAATAATGTAGGCGTTTTTCTAAATAGATATATCTACGTTCTTTAAATGGTTTATAGTGTATTTTGTAAAAGTATATCAAAGTGTATTTTCTGTCAAAGATCCTTCTAGTTTTTGCATATACTTTATTAATGTTAATTTGCCTCTATCTGTAGGTTTAGACTTCCCTCATTTTTCTAAATATGAAACATTTTCTTTTAATTTCAGTAAGAAATATATATTCTTAAGCAGTGTCTGATAGACACTGCAAGGAATTAATGCTGATCTACCATTCCGTTGGCATTGTAGTAGGGCAGCCTGGTGCCATAACCTTGACCCCGGGTTCGAATCCCAGAGAAAGCATGGATGCTTGTAAGTGCATAGTGTCTTTGCTGCACAGGGGTATTTAATATACTGTTAAACCGAATGTCCTATCGAGAGGTTGAAGGAAAGTGAAGAGGGGTGAGAGACCCCTGGATCCGTTTCCCGGCAGATTTTCCTTCAAAATTATCACGGAGTTAAACTAACTTGACGCTGTTCAGCCCAAATCATTGTGGTGCGACAATCTCCTTCACAACTTGCGTTACAGACTGGGAAGCCATTGCTCGTGAGGTCAAATCCCCTTTAGTGATTCTTGGTAATATTTTAAAAAGGTTGGCGATACGTCAAACACATCTTGCGGTGTACTGTATTCTATTGTCGCATTTCTCGAAGGCCATCTTTAAACAAGTTAATGTCCATCGAACGTAGAAGACAAACTACCTCAGTGTATGACTACCAGGTGTTCTTGGCCAGTCCTTGGCCTTCTTGATCTCCAGACTAATCAAAGACATATGGAGTATGTCAGGACAGCTCTTAGAACCTCCAGTAAAGTGCATGAACATTCTAAAAATATCTAGCAGTAAATTCGGGCGGACACCATTCGACTTTTGTAATAATCCGTTGCTAATCCGAATATCCTAATGCATTGCTGGTTGTACGTCACACTAATAGTATGTAATGGTTCTTAAGCCCTCTTTGTTCAGTAAATAGATTGAAAACCATCAATTTTTTGACTACTTCTTCATCTTTTTTCCTCTCCTCGCTCATGGAAAATTTTGCCACCATGGAAAAATTTAGCAATTTTTCTAGGTAGGTGGACTTTTAAAAAAAGTGCAGAATATATTTTAATTAATATTTAAATGGATAAACTTAGGGAACATCTTTAAAAAATAAAGGAGGTGCTTAATTCCTGAACTTCATTCAAGCACCAAAGTCAAGTTGATAAAAGAAATTTACTGTCTTCAACTTTCCTTTTTACTCATGAAAAGAAAATAATAAATCAGAGCATAATCAAGAAGATTAAAGAGCCTTTTTGAATTGTTGCCAGGAAGCGTTAAAAACGAATTGATGGCGTGAAAGTACATCTAAGCTTCGAAAAGAGCTTAAACACAGTGAAAATTCTATTTGTTTCTGTTAAGAACAATAAAAATGTAAAACTGCAAGGAATGATAGCAGAATTATGGGCACTAGCATAAAATATGTGTACTAATACAAAATAAGAACTATGAATTTGAATTATATGCAGGACATCAGTGAAGAATACAAGGTATATGTGTGAATTAAATATGTTTACTCCGGTATAAAATTTGAAACTATTCTAATGTTTTTGATAAAGAAAATGGTCCATTTCGTCTTAACACCTTTTTTACCGATTTCCTTGCTTCCAGAGATGCAGTAACTGAAGAAAGGGGCGGGGAAATATTAAATTCTTTCTATCAAAGCTTTGTTTTTTGGGTTGAATCAATGGCGCAACTAAGATCAAATTATACAATGAACTTCCACGAATAACTGAGATCTCATTATAGAATGCGTAATAATTATTTATCTACACCCTTCGATTACTAAAAACTCATTTATTTTTAAATGTAGTTTTTGAAGTAGCTCTTCTAAGATTTTGATGTAAATTACTGTCTATGTATAACGTATAGCGAAGTGTCTTGAATGTGGTATGATGTATAAAGCTTAAAATAAACACGTTAAATATCAAAGTACGGCATATTGGACTAGGACAGGGTTTCTTAAACTGTGGGTCGCTACCCCCTTGGGGGTCGCCAAAAATTGTAGCAGTTTTGTGATTTCTTTAACTTATTATAATAATTTTACAGTTACCAAATATTTTTACGCAATGTATCTGAAAATAGATAAATATAAGACAATACAGACAAAGAAAAAAACGAAAACGTTTCGAGCATTCTTTTTATAATATAAATGTTCATTTTCCTTGCTTTGCACGTGACGCTGTCATTTCGTCTGTTACTTACTTAAAATTTTCACATTCTTGTATGTCTTAAAATTAGAAATTCAATTTAATGACCTAAAACTGCAATAGTATATACAGTACAATTGAAAAAAATGACTGTTTCACTCACGCGTATGCCGGATTTGCGCAATACTTATGGGGTCCCCCCAAATTTTTGTAAATTGTATGGGGTCCTGGGGGCCGCGAAACAATCTCAATGATAAAAAGCTGTCGCGACTGAAAAAAGTTTAAGAAACCATGGACTAGGAGATTGTAACCGTTATTAAGACTAGTCTGGAAAGCCTGCGATATTTACTGCTACTTGAAGAATGCATTTACTTTGAAATGTTGTGCGTTTCATTTTTATTTGAACCGGCTGAAAATGAGATTTTTCAGAAATGTGATTTTAAAAATTTCTAACACAACTAATAAAATAAATTGCATGGTAAAATTCAGTACCTTGTTCTTTTATTAAATGTTTCGTAAGATTTGCTGTAGAGACACTTGTCTACCATCTCAGCTCGTTGGAACGTTGGAACGTTGGAAATTTTCCACAGACGTCCACAGACGTTGGAAATTTTCAGCTTCTGGTACAGATAACAACTAGTTTTACAATGGTAAACTTCACTTACAACTCTCTGAAGTGAACTCGAATAGAATGATGTCACAGTCTAGACATTTAAAATAATCCTAATGTCTTTAAAAAAATTTTAGCATGTCTCTCGGAAGTTTTAAAAGATGCTTCTTGTCTCTTACATTTGTATGAGTAATTCTTAACTAATCAAACTTTTTTTGACAACAAGATGCATCACCTTCAGAAGGAATTACATAAAAGTAGTACTGTAATGCACCCCTCTTATACTCTGTTATTCTGGATATTTAGCCCTTAAAAACGCCTCGCCGTGGGAGACGTTAGTTTTAATTTTTTAATGCTTCTCCGTATCAGGAGAAAGCACGTGCCGCGTTAGAAATAGGGGGAGGACAAAGCTTAGGCGACTGAATAATATGTGTAAAAAAAAAAAAAAGAAAAGAAAAATTGCACCATCCTAACTTGACTGTAAGTCCCGTTCCCCCTCTTCTTCTACCTGGAACCATTTGGGAACCAAATGTGGCGATTTTCTGATGGTTTCCGGCGGATGCTTGACACGCAACTAAAAGTATGAACTAAGACCTTGTTGAGCAGATGGAAAGTTTTAGTACCATATGTATACCAATATCCGTTTAAGGGAAGGAACCGGAAGTGAGGGACTTTAAATGACTTGTTTGAAAATAAACAAGCATGAAATCTGGGCATGCTTCATTAAAACGGTTGATTTAATTTCTTGATATATATATGCGTTAAGACACAACTATTTTCCTCATGTAAATTAACGGAAGAAAAAAAATAATAGCGCTTTAACTTGCTTATTCATACCACTAGAAGGTTAAAAATTATCACCAGCTTGCAATATGTGATGTATTGTATTAAAGCTATCATATGAACAGTAGTACAGCTCTGAAAGAGCAGGAGATATATTTACGAACAGAAATAATGTGAAGCGGATATAAATTAAAAGATATTTACCTTGAAACATCTGAAAAACATGCTAGTTTAGATTTTTTAATTAGTTACATCCGTTACTTATGTAGCATGCGTAAAAGCACAACCGTATCCCAACAAATAAATATTTTAAACTTTCAAAGATAACATGCTCTCCCGAGAGCTGATATGAAATTCAACCTTATTAAAAAAAAACTCTTTTAAAAGCGTAAGCAAAGTCCCTTTGTCATATTATTCAACGGCTTCAACTAAATAAATCATTGCCTGCGCCTAATAACAGTATCGAATATGGATGAAGAGGATAAGAATTCAACCCGCTGTCCATGGTAAGACCACAGCTTTAAGTTAAGTTTCGTGTTATAGAAAATAATGAAGGAGGCTAATAGCAATATTAAAACTTAAGAAGTTACATTTATTCTGATGTAAATTAAATTCATTTTATGCTTTCGTTAAAATTTTTATCAGATTACCACAGTTTCGATATTTATTCTATTAATTTTTTACTGTCAAATTGTGTCAATGGCTTTTAAGGTCCTTTTATTTAAATATTAAATGCAATATTCGATCTACTTTTACAGGTTAGTGCACATGCGTCCATTAATATTGTTAATCCGCCACAGCTAACGCGGAAGTACTTAATATAAGACGCATTGAACAGTGAAGGAATGTACAGTACAGCATCCTGATTTGAATTGACATTTAAAGCTCAGGCTTTAAATGCTAATTCAGACCAATTGCGCCAAGCTTAACTGCCCAATACAAATATTAAAAAAAAAAAAAAATTGCTTTAAACTTGCTAAACCACAGCTGAATCATATTTATTTTACAAATACATTGTAACGGAATGATGAAATAACTACAATTTCAGGTACAGAATAATTGAGATACAGAATAAGCAGATATCAGTACCCCAAGCATCTTTTTCGGTAAGAATAACAGCTATTATACGGTTTAGCATAGAGAAGAGCAGATTTTGGACAATAGTTACGGTTACTGCAGTCCGTAGGGTATTCTATTCATCACACTTCATCTGTGGAACTGGCTCACGTGTGCTGTCATGCCACTGACTCTGCATAATGAAAAGAATTTATATTTATTCTGACATAAATTAAAATATTTCTTTGCTTAAATCAGAACTCTTATCAGATTACCATTCTCTCGATAGTTATTCTAAAATTTTTTGCTGTTAAATTGGGTGAATCACTTTAAATATTTTGCTTACATAAAAAATCCGATTCTTAAACTCATATATACAAATAATATGCTAGTTGAACAGAATAATTTTTATATGTAGTAAAATATATAACTTGCAAACAACAAAGGCAAGTTAAATAAAGGAATAGGAAAAGACAAAGAATGAAATATTAGTATTTGCGAAATCCCGCAAATACATTGTAACGCCCTATTAGCGTCTGAGTTATTGCACCCTTTCAGCGTCTGAGTGAATAAACATTGATAATTTATCCCAGAGCCTGAGAGATGTAGAGAAACCGCCAGCCAAGTCAGAAGTCGAACACCCCACTTATTGAGGAAATGACAATGTGGGCAACCTGTATTTCATATTGTTCTGGGAGCTACAGAGGCCCTTAACTTCCAGTAATGTAACAGGGGCTGATCAGAGTACTGGATACGCAGACAACAGGTGAAGGGAATATGTATTCCATAACTTCTACTACCATCGATCCCACAGATATGCCGATGAAAGAATGTGCTTCTAGAGGTAACCCGCAGCCCCAGCAGGTTACAATTCTTCCCCGATCAAACTGCTAAGACCTGCTGAGGTATGAGTTCCTTCTTCCTACGTGAGATATAACACGACATCCAACACACACAAAAAAATTAAGATAGCCGAAAGAAAAATCATTATTTTGGTCTTTTTTTTTTTTTTTTTTTTTTTTTTTTTTTTTTTTTGTACAGCTTCAATGTATCATTATTCTTATGTGCTTATGCCGTGAAATGCTAATAATTTGCATACCTCAGCATGTTCTACCTTTTATGTAAATTTCAAATTTGTTAAGAGCTTCCTTGACAGTGTAACTTTTTGGCTAACAGTGTAATTTTATAAAACTTTTCTCAATACAGATGCGCATAGTTAAAATGGCATCTGTTATTTGGGAAAAAAAGTTATGTGTATAAATTTTTAAGGATCATTTAAATTCTTTACAAAACTTTTGAGCTTCTGTGTTTGCTCAGCAGTAATCAGATGAAGACTTTAGAAAAAATTCTGAGTAAACCACAGCATTTACTGTGGCTGTAAATGGGGATTGACACATTTTGACACAAAAACTAGACAGTACGTTTCCTTAATGTATTTTCTTAAATAAATGCAGTTTTTATAGCAAGACATTAACTCCAACGAAAGTTCATTCAAATTTTTATTTCATAAATCTAATAGATAGTTTCATTTGCAGTAGAGATGAAGAATAACGATATAAAGTTGCAAATAAATGAAATATTTTAAACGAAGAAACGCAGATTTTTTATTAAAAAAATTTGAGAACTGAAGAACCTTTTTTTATCATTATATCGATCTCATAAAAGGAAGAGTTAGTATTTACTTGCATGACCTTTAGTCCTTATAAACTTCTTCTAAACCTCGTGGACTGATGCACCAAGTTTAGAGGTGTGTCTGAAGATATTTTATCCCATTCTTTTCCCAGGGCACGTTCCAAATAATATTTTCTTTTTATTTATGTGTTTGTGGAGCTAGTTTAAGCACAGATCACTAATTTTCAGTGACACTAATGTATGAAGACTGAACAGGATGTGTAGTTGTTACTTACTGTTGTTCAGTAGCTAAATTTTTATAGGATATCCTGCATGTTTCGTATCATGACATTGTTAGAATATCAATCAATAAATATATAAATACTCTTCAATTACACTCGTAGCAGCACAGCCGTATATTATTATCACGTATGTGACTCCACCTCTTTTTTGTTGGAATTCAATCGTTAAGCTCAGAACCGTTCGATTTCCTCCAAACAATACAGTAGCCAAAACTAATAAAAAATTTTAAATTTCTCTCCTTCACTAAAGTTATTAAAAAAGTTGTGAGTCTTTAATACGTGGTGGTTCTTAGCAAACTTTAAGCGTTTATTTTTATTCTATAAACTGATAAAGGGTTTAATTTTAGCTACTCCAGATTTAATCAGTGGCCGAGAGGATAAGAATACTAGTAGTTCGACTAGCTTTCCATTCTCAACAAATAGGCTGGATGCATGGGTTTTACAAGATTTTCGCTGTGTGTAGTATAAAAATTACAGACAGCTCGCAAAACTAACTCGTATTCACATCCCCTGAAATATATATCCCTGAAATTCATCATGCAGTCAGCCCATTCGCTAAGAACAATGGGAAGAGAAAGAGTGTTTATTAATTATCTCCATTCGATCACTGTCAGACTGCCTTCCTTTAGTACTTATCAGTTTATTTCTATATATAAGAAAGATTTCTTTCTGTAGTATTGGCAGTTTGGATAAAAAGCATTCCCTTTCTTTGATAATTTTAAAAGGAACTTTCTAATATAAGTTTTAGTTTATTTTCAGGATCTCGTGCTATCTTATTTAATTTCTTCTTCACAGCCGAGTGCACACCCCTGGCGGCGTGGATAAAACTGTTGAACGCTGGAAGTGCAAATGGGTTTCGAATCTCGCGACCAGGTCAATTGCATGGGCGTATTTGTGTTTTCTTCTACTTCTAACATGGGATTAGCATATTTCGCGTAGAAAAACCTCTAACAAACAGCTCTTTCCTGAGGGTCTGATTACGTCTTAAGCCCACAAGACGTGGGTTTTAAGGGTCTGAAAATTCATTGTGTATTTCCTGGAAATGCTGTTTTTTTTTCCTCTAATGGAAACAAGAAAAGTTATAAGCACTTGATGGAGATGAAAAAACACAGTTCATAGGGCTTCATGTCATCTTAAGGCAGCCCTGCTTTTCCTTAGGCCTGCTGAAGGGATATTATTGCTTTCTCTTAGGGTTGTTTTCGGTAAATGTATCAAATGTACCAAGCACAATATTTTTGCAGTCATAATAATTACTAAATCTTGATAAAAAAAATTTCCTCATATGACTCAAGTTTTTAAAATTTAATCATAGTTCAGAAGATTTTTCTTAATTTTTTCCCCTTTAAATTTTTGTCAAAATATTATTTTATAATCTCCTGAGTAGTAAACGGTAAATTGCTATTTTTATTTATATGTCGGTTATGAAATGTGCAAACGTCTGTATATAATCGTCAGAATTTGGTTATTTTATCTCTCTTTCTTCCAGTTTAGCCAAATTTTGACCAAAGTGAACATAAACTTTTATATTTAAAGAAATATATTTTCAGTTTTTCAAAGTCTCTGCACCCCAATTTGCTGCATACGTTACACATTTTAAGACTATTTCTAAGTATCGTGTCTGACTTATTTACGGAAGTAACGAGATAGTTTATACTATTTTAAGTTAAGAATAGAATACATTAAAAACGCCGAAAATTTCAAAATTTATTTTTTTAGTTGAGTTCTAATTACATTCAACTGCAACGAACTAATTTTATGACTTAACGCGTATAAATATTATTTAATTTTATTTTTTATGTGCCTGTTAGGCAAGTTGATTGCACACATAAGGTAGCATAATATTTCTGTTGGACAGAGATGCTGTACAGTGTAAATGTTAAAATACAGCTTATTTGTTTAATATGTGTAACTCAAATATGTATCAAATTTGTCTTTATCTTAAAAGCATTGATAGGGATGTGAATTGAGATAGGTCCTCTTTACTGCACTATAGTGCTGTAGAAGTAACGAGAAATTGTGTACCCGTATGTATTCGTTACTCGGTGAACCAGTACTCGTTACTATCGTATCGTTACTCGTTACTTTCGGTAAAATCGATCGGTATCCGTATACTGAGCCTATTTTATCGGTCTACAGCCCTAAAAAGGGCTTTGAAACGTCGCATTGCATTGAATCACGTGAGCTATTCTAGTTTTCCGTCGCCTTTTTTGGGGTAGAAATAATTCACTTTATTTGGCTATTATTTTTTGGTGCACTGGATATGATTCATTATTAAATTTTCTATTGCTTGTCAGGGCTTAGTTTCTAAACTCAGAAGGCCTACGGAAGGCCGTCAGGAAAACAGGAAAAAATAAAAAATAAAAAATAAAGAAAGAAAGGAAATAAATATTACAATAATAACATTAATTAGTAATTAAAATAACAAAAAATTACTTATTGAAAAACTTAATAATTAAAATAACAAAAATAGTGATTAAAATAATGAATAATTAAGTAACATAATAATTAGCAACTGAATATAAAATACTTATAAGTAACAATTTAATAAAAATGTAAAAACAAATAAAAATTAAAATAATTTTTAAATTTATGATGACTAATTAAATAATAAAGTAAAATACCAGATCTTGTCTTATTGGCTTAGTATCGTTTCGTCCTTTCTCATTTCATCCCCAGCTCGAAAAAGTGTTATTTCGTTCGCTGCCTTCCCCCACCAATTCCCTCTTTCCCGTTTTCATCCGCTGTTTGGAAAAATAGGTGTTTACTTTACGATAAGGCGAACGTCTGTTTACTTCAATTAAAATGGTTTTAGAAGAGATGACTGTTTCTACTTCGACTTAGCTTTTGATTTTTTAATATATTTATATTTTATGCAGACAAATTATGTTGAGCAGAATAATGAATTTCAGACGTGTTCAAAAGGTGTGTGTATCTGAATATAATAACATTTTTGTTGTATAGTATCCATTTTTTTTAATTTCACACATTTCTAAAGCAACAGAAGTACGGTATCACTATTTTGGCACACACACATCAAAAACATGTATAATTAAGATTAATGTTACATTCCTTATTAAATGTAATGGGTCCTCATTAAATGCAACCATTCATGCTTTTAGAGGATTTTACATGTGGTGGTCTTAAAAAGATGATGTTCACTACCAATGTTTGTTTATGTTCCCAAAAATAGAGATCTCTTAAAAGGTGACCTCTTAGAGATGTCGTAAATAGATGATTTGCTATAATTATTTTCCGATAGATAATGGAATTAATGTAATTT